AGCAAATAACTATTCAATATAAAGTAAATGTATAATTAAAATTTTCAAATTTTCTATGCAATTATATATGTGATATCATTCTCTTTCTCTAACTCATTAAGAAATCTTTAATTGTTATAATACAATGATTTCAGTCCCAATATGTATAATTCACCCTTTGTTATGAATCAGTCAATTTATCATTTTGCTCCTATGTAAATTCAAAAGTTTATTTCAATTAATAAATGTAAAATTTTTAAGGAATTTCATGGAAGCTCCAAAGATGTTGCTGACATTTATTAAATACCGGAAAATGCTGAAAAAAGTGCAGAAGCTAATAAAGAAATGGCGGAATTTAATCAAATATAACTTGTCAAAGTTTGATTTTTCTTTCACTTTTAATTAGTTCAATTTGATTCAATTAATGTGTGGCAAATAAAACGAATGAATTTGCAAAAAAAAATTTATTCAACATATGGACGGCCAACTTAAGAGAAGCTGCCAGAATCAATGCTTACAGGATTCCAGAAGACTTAATTAGAAAGCCAGAATTTTTTTTCTTGCCAGATGCTATTTCTCTTACAGTAATAGATGCAAATATGCCTATCAATAGAAAAGTTATGGCAATATTTAATCAATTTTTAATATTTAAGTAAATTTAAAATTTTTCGTTAAAGTAATCATTGAAGGATATCGATATTTAAATAAAGTATAGATGACCACCCATTCCGAATTCATTGGTCATATTTTAATGATGACAAGAAGAGAAGTGAATATATACACATCTTTTCAATTTTTTGGAAGAATTTTTGGATAATGACTTCTCTTTAAAAAAATCTCATAGTCTTCTCAATTTCCGAAACTTTTAATTTTCTTAAAGAAAAAAAATCTTAGAAATAATAATAGTTTTGCTGTCAGCATTTCCATCGAAGTATTAAAATTGAAGTCGGTTTCATTTCAGTTAAGTTAAATAATGACAGAAAAAAATAAAATTCGGTGATTTTATATTGGATAGATCAATAATGGAATCTTTAACTGATTTTTTCTTTTCCATTTTTACCCTTCCATTTCTTGTCTGCAAAACATAGGTTAGAATTTTATGAAAGAAAAAGAAAAAAGCTTTTTGAAATTCTAGTGGTACTCCAGAAAATATTGATAAATGTAGACTTTTATCATTTGCAAGCTTCAAGCATAGTCTTCTCCTTTTCGGTGGATTTATGAGTTTAAGAGACCATGAAATTGATAGCAAAAGAGAAAAAAACCGCGACAATGAAAACATTGATGCTGTCAGGATCGGTCCAATGGAAACATTGGGAACGGTGAAATGAAATTGTTTGCATCACCGCGAGAAAAGTTATCAGTGTGAAAATCGGAGTAAAATTTTGCCCGAGCTGATAACGCACAAACTTTTTTCTGTTTTTATTCTCCTTTGCTTGTTAACACATTTCTAAAGCTTAAATGAAATTAACAATTTTTTTAATCATATTCAATATTTGTTTGTTCTTCTGAATCATCTAAAATATCCTATATTTTATGAGTAATTTAAATGAATTGCTTACAAAATTGAGAAAGTGAAAAATAATTTGTAAATGAAACTAAATTATAGTCGAACAAAGTAGCTTCATTTCAAGGATGAAAATACAAATCCAGCGATGCATTTTCAGACTTATTATTTGTGAAGAATACAAGTATTGCATAATTTAAATGAACTTTTTTTGCAGAATTTAACATATATTATCAAATAAAATGGAAGGAATTGGTGACATTTGAAGTTCAATTTCAAATAAACTATACTACAGCTTAACAACTCAATTTCTGTAAAATACTTATCGTTTTCTTCGAACTATTACTTTCTCAATCAATTATTAGAATGAGTAGAATTGGAAATGACTGACAGCAAATATATTTTAGCCTCCACATCAAGCAATAACATGATGTAATATGGGTTAGCTTAGAATATGCTGCAAAATTTATTATGTAAATTAAAATTTCCTAAATTTTTGCTGATTAAATTACTTTGTATTTATTACAAGTAATTCATTGAAAGTTATATATATAAATATATTTGTTTATCACTTATTTAAAATCCTTAAATTTCTTAAAAATCCTTGCAGAGGAAATTCTAATAAAAGTGGTGATTTAATAAATGATGACAAATAACATTGGCATCATAAAATTGGATTCCATTTTTAAGGATTGAAATCTTGAAATAAATTTTAGTGAGCTTTCTAATTTCGACTTGAAACCAACGCAAAAAAAAGAGCGAAACAGAGATGGAAAAAAGAGAATAAAAAGGATGGATGATATGAGGAATATTTGAAGGAGAAGACGGAACGGATAGGTGAATCATTTTTCTTTCCCATTGTCAATGAGGGATTTACAAAAAAAAGTAGACCTCTTACTCTTACTAGGAAAGGAGAAATTGGGAGGACGAAGGAATAGTGAAAAAAAGAGGAAGCCTTTCTCCTACTAGGCTATTAGGCTACTAGGCTACTAGACTATCTACTATTGGGTAAGTGCCAAACGACTCTATTTCTCATTTTTCCTAAATGAAAATGACAAGAGAAAAGTGAGAAAATTGAACACTGCCTATTAGAAATAATAACAAACTGTTTATGTTTACTAAAAAAATTTGTCATTGAAAGTTACCCCGCTCAGTTTAATGTTGTCTATCGTTCGTTATCTTCATTTAGTCAATTCAATTAGATCACATTGATGGTAACATTTGCGTTGTGGAGAGATATTTGGTGAAAATGAAAGTTGTCGCTGTTGGTCATTAAAGTGGTGTGAAATGAAATGCATTAGACAGATAACTGTTATTCTACAAGAGAGAAAAGTTCTTTAAATGATCACTGAACTGATCTCATACAATAGGAGCTTATTTCTACCATTCAGTATAACCTGCTTCTGAATTTTTATGAATCAAATTAAATGAATGAATATTAATTGTGAATACATTACATATCTCACGATTAGTCGTGTCTTAATCGGAGAAATGAATTGTAATAGAACAAAAAGTGCAGAAATTTTTCAACAAATTTGTGCGGAAGAAATTGACTAAAAGACGTGAAGAGCTTTCACTTTCTACTGATTCCCAAAAAATTCGATTTGATTTCTAATTGAGTTGAAGACAAATTCTAAATCGGATTGTCCATAATAACTAATCAATGCTATATCAAATATCATTGTGGTTTTCCCTCACTTCATATTAACTCAGAGATTTCAATTAAGAGGACATAAATCCTCGGTGTTTTTGTAAAAATGAAATTATAAGAAGGACCAGTCTGTTCAAATTAGACTTGCAGTAAGCAAGCGACAAAATTGTTTTGAAATACTGTAACTCCAAATTGCCCAAATGTTAAGAAGAGCAACTTCTCCATATCCAAAGACATTTTTTTTCGAACTAAATCTTACCTGATCCATACGCATTTATTGATAATTAATTAGTTCACAATTATTTACTTAGTAACTCATTAAATTTTATTTATGTTCTTGAAATGAAAATAAACGAATAATTAATGGCTAAAACAAAATTATTTTTACTTATGCATTTGATAATAAAACTGTAATTTCGTCGTTTTTAAAAACAAAATATTTTCAACTATTTTCAGGCTAACTTCTGGTAATAAAGGAAATTGAGTGCGAAACCCTTAAGTAGGAAATTTGTAGCAAATAGAAAATTTCTACCCCAGATTTTCCGTGGAAATTTCTTACTTATTTAACACAGCATTTCAATTGATAAAATAAAAAGCACATGTCAGATAAAAAATGAACATGAATATGTAACTAATTATTCAGTATTTACAATCCTTGCCGTTAGAAATCGCGAGTGCTAAATGAACTAATCCCATGAAATAGCAGTGATATATAGTTTTTCAATTCGATATAACAATATAAAATTTCAATTTTTAACAATTTTCAACAAGACAATTAGAATGAAGACGAGACCGCTTGTGTGTAACAAGTATATAAGATTTACTTTCCCTTCTGGAATTTCAAAATCTTATCTGAAGTAGATGGCAGAAATATGCACACATCAGATTTTTGTTTTTACACACAAAATTGAATATTTTAAAGTTTTAAAAGATTATTTCGATCCTGTTACAAATGTTGAAAACAACTTCACCTTTGCTCCATTGCTAGTATAAGTTAGTCTTGGAAATTTAGCTATGTGAAATGATGGACGAAATCCAAAAAAGTTCAAATTACACTGCAAACGAAAAATTAATCGGTGATATGAGAATGAGAAAGAAACGGAGACTGAGTAGGAGCAGAACAGAGTCTGTGCATTAAAAGTTTGCCTGTTCGAACACTTCTATGGATTTTAATCAGCTCAGTTTGAAATTTTATTAGACTCACATAATCAGGATGAAGCAATGAATCAAAGACAAAAAGCATTATAGCAGAGAAGGCTCAACGTGTAGAATATCTGACATTCCAGAGGTCTGGTTTCCACAAAATTGTTCAAATTTTATTGCAAAAAATAGATGAATGGTAAGGTTTTTAGTGAGTTAAACTGGGCAGCTGTTCCGTTTGTCCGCAATTGTAATGATGTCTTTGCTGAGGATCCGAAATGAACGATAGTTTGAGAAGAAAACAGCCAACTATTCTTTCATTTTTCTATCTTGACACCAAGATAGAAAAATGAAAGAATAGTTGGCTGTTTTTCTTCTCCAATCAAAAAGTCAAAATTTAAATTTCAATTCTATCAAGAAGTCTCAATTACACGATCATTTTTCCCCAAAAATTCTAGATCCCTCAAAACTAATTAATTTTTAGACCATCTAAATGAAAAAAATTTTGGTGAGATTGTTGTACTGTAAAGAAAATTATGCGGTTTGAAAATTTACCATTCAATATTTTCAAAAATTCGCTCAGCAATTTCAAGTAATATACTGGCAAAAAGGCACATAAACAGTATTTCCTATATAAATTGCTTTACACTATTATTATTAGTAAAATTGTAAATAATCAAAAAGATTTACAATTAAAAAGTTCTTGCAAACAAAAATAATTGCATCTCAGGACGAAGGAAGCTGTAAGGTAAAGGCTGAACGCCTTTCAAGTGCATAATTTTCATAATTTACCAAATCGACTCGTGATGGAATTTTAGACCCTCGCCAAGCACATTCAACACTTTCAATATAAATTTTCATAGAAGCCTTCGATACTGGCAGAAGAGAGACCTGAAGTTTTCAAAAAATGCTAAAAGTGTAATATTTTTCTTCATTCTTTCAATGAAAGTTCAAGCTTTGTTACAAAAATTCGAAGGTCGTTATATTAAACATACGAGAATGCAAGGCGAAGAATATAAAAATATTAATAAAGGCAAAAACACCTAAAAAAAAAGTGCTAACCGAATATACATTATCTGACTTGAAAATTGATGTCGGTTCCAAACGGCTGTAATCGGGTATCGCTGATGCCGACAAATCATTAAGACGTTTGGGCTTTCCTGATAAGTGAAAATCCTGAAAGATCACTACAAAAGTTAGAATCATAAAAACAATTTGTAAAATGCAATTTTAAATTATGATATAATAGAGAAGGAAGATTGGCATTGTAGAATCAGTAATTATTGGACGTATTACTACAGTAAGTGCCACGAAGTATTAAAAAAGTAAAATACGTTTCTAAATTGTTCTCTATTAACCTAATAATCTAGGATGCATGACCTTTCATGAAAAACTATTTTTCGTAACACATGTAAAATCTCACCTTATGACTAGTGGTGCAACCACTCAATTGTGCGTATTTGACATATTTTGCCATATCAGCATCATTAGGCTTTTTAACCTCAAAACCATATGCCTCTTTAGTTGTTAAAATGCCCATACACATCACCCGACTGTCTGCAACAAATATTTTAAATTAATAAAGCTTGATTTACCTAGCAGTTGATTTCTGCAAAAAATCAGAATTAATGGTGATAAATGATAACCAACCTGAATTTTTCTGATTCAGTGTCATTTCTCGATTTGTTGAAGTTATTAAACGAAGTTTACCGACCTAGAAATAGCTACATTATATTCACATAATTTGATAGAAAATTTGCTTCCTAGCTTTAATCCTTATTCGTCTTTTCCTCTTTCTTCACATTTAATCCATGTGCAGAACATATATGCTGAACGCAGACATAAACGAGCTTAATATATCAAAAAATATATATAAATTAAAAAATTTCTTGTATAAAAAAAAGAAATAAGGTATTAAAACTATCACTACTAAAAACCATTTCAATAGGACAACTACTTTAAAAATACAAACCAAATCCAATAAAATAAACAATTATTTACCGGACTAAAACCGCACTCATAATGTGCTTCAGTATCTGATTTCAATGGTGGCTCGTCTTCTTCGTCATCATCATCTGACAGTGCAGTTTTTTCTTGCTTCACATTACCCTTATCATTTAGATCTTGCTGAATATAACAAAATTCCTGTTTTTGATCTATAAGTTTGTTCATTGATAACAAGAAAAATCGATTATAGTGAAAAAAGTAGATAAATGAGACAGCACAGAATTTTGTAAATTTCAGCCTGTTTAAGATAGAATCGCATAAAATGCCTAGAAAGTAGAAAATTATCAAAAAAACAATGAACTACCTTCCATAATTTGGCGAAAGTATAGCAATGAGCGATGCTTTGATTTACATCATTAATCATTACGGATTTTTGGAGATCCTTTTGCTCACGAATTAAATCATCTAGCCTTGATAACTCCCATAAACGATAGTATATGTAATATAGATCTTCAGTAGAAATTAACCAGTGGCAACGTGATACTGGTGGTGCTTGAATCAACAAGAATTTGACAAATTATATAATCAAATAATAAAGCATAGTCAACCCTACATAATCATAATAAATTTCGGAAAGATAATATCACTTATTTTTGAACTATATATTGTTTTTGCAAACTAATTCTGCAAAAAAAGGAGCACTGATAAAACTAACTATGATGATAATGCTGAAAACAATAATAACTTACCTAAACTAACACAGGAAAGAATACTGTCATCAGTATATTTCCAGTCATTCCATCCATTAGGACTTTTCCAATAATCAGAATCAACAAACCAAGCACAGTAATCTGCTTTCATCTTGAAATCAGCAGGAAAATGAAGATAATGATCAGTTCCCAAATCCCACAAATGAAAGTTTTTATTATTTGGTCTGAAAAAGAGATTAATATTTACAATAACTATGCATAGAAAACTTAATACTCTAGCATCAATAAATAACTGAATTAACTGAAAAATCCAGTATTGTTATCATTTTCTCACAGTTTAGCTAGATTTGTCATAATACTTGAATTATTCCACTAATGCAATTATTTATCAGTTGCTATCAGGGAAGGAGAAAAATGAGAAAAAAAGGAGTGGAAACCTTTAAGGATGATTTTGTCTTCTACAATATTTTAAATACAGAAATGCACTTAAAAAATCCATAATGTCTTAAAAATTGGCATTCATAACACTAACATTTTATCATTTATCATCTTGTAGAACGATCTTACTACTGAATACTATTGAATACCTTTATTTATATAATTGTTATTGTAATTAGCACTTATTACATAATTGACAAATGAAAAATAAATGATAAAAAACAAAAAATAAAGAAAGAACAAATGACCTGAATACACCTAAAAACAAGTTGATCGCATTTTGTTTATCATAGTCACCGAAAGTGTTGCTATAATATCTTGACAAGGTTTGGATTACATCGCGACTTCTTTCCTGAATAAGTATCTGTAGACGGGCCCAAATTTTCTTATCTTCGACGGGATAATTCTTAATTATTAAACCTCCAATATCTTGTGCCATACGAAAAATCTTGCTTTATCCACACAAAATTTTGCTAATTACAAAATTTTGTTTTTTTGATACTGACAAACGTTTTTTGACAATATTGACAAAAAATGAACACCTTTCAATCCATTTATCAGGATTATTTATATTGATAATAACAACACTTATAAACATACAACCATCAAAAATTTCAAATAAATGAGATAGTTCCTAATGAAAATTCGCAATTTCCGACTTTCAATCTACTTTTCTTTAAAAATATTATTGAAGCTAAACAATTATAGTATTTTTCAGTTTTGAAATATAAGAGTTTAGAATTTCCACGCTCCACATCTTTCCTGATTCACTTTTTACTCAAAGAAAAAAAAGATGATATTTATAACGATCGACATTAATAAACATACCTGTATAACAGATATCTTTTTATAAGTCTTGATTGAATGTACTAATTGAGACCCCGCATACTGCAGCGCTAACATATTGCCATGCTGATCCACCAAATCCTCATATATTCGACAAACTTCACTGGATGAAGAAAGTAAAGGTTCTCCGACAAGTCCCATCGAATATAACTGAAGTCCAAGAGATACCTTCCCTAAAGTTCGCCATTCCAAGAAAAATTAATTGATATGCAAGTTAAAAAGTTACAAATTCTAAGTGTGAAAAATTCAAATTTTTATACGATTCGTTTTCTTTCCTTTTATCCTTTAATTCTTCATTAGTGGTAAAATATATAACTTACCGATTCCAAATTGAGCAACATTTGTTCTATCTAAGCAATCTACACAGTTTGTTCTTAAAACACCGTGCTGAAGCAAACATCTACCATCTAAACTTAGCAGCGGCTCAAAATCGTTCAGCAACGATGTTGGTCTTAACTTGCGGCAATATAGTGGTGGGAATGACTGCAATGTAGTCTATTTCTCAATTTCGAAAATCCAAATGACAAAAGGTATTATGATGTCTAAAATAACGTAAATTAAAAAATTTCAAAACTTTGAACCAAACCTGAAACCAGCCATGTCGGATAACACATCGCAAACCTATTTCTTCAAGTTTACTCAAGACATTTCCAGTTTTATGACAACGAGCTACGTCAAAACTTAAATACGCGATCCGTTCCGCTTTTGGTAGGAACATATTCAAATACTTGACAGCCTGAAATTATTTTTAAAAAAACTGTATTCTGTCAAACAGAAATTTAAAATAGAAAAGAATGAAAAAATAAAACCTTAAGAAACTGATCATGCAAAAGCGCCTCATGCCTTCTATTTTCACGCCTTTTCACCAAATTCATTACTATCAGCGGATTACCGTATTTCTTTCGTAGCTCACTAAAAAACCAAAACAATTTAAGTTGAAAAAAAAACAATGAAGATCCACAATTGTTCATAATTTCACTGTAATATCGATATCCATCGTAATGCTGTCATAAGTAACTTAATATCTGCTATTCTATTCTAATCAATCCAAAATGACATAAGCCCTAACCGAACTATCTTATTTGAATTTTATTAGACATTTTTTGAATACTAGCAGAAAATCGGGAATTTTTGGCTTTTCCACAAATTTTTCTTATTTAATCTACATAAGTTAAAAAAAAGTTTCACTAAAATACCACGAAAATGAATTTCACTTTTCTTTTCTTTCGCATTAAGTTTTAAATGTTTCTATAAACAATAAAAAGCACCGGAAATGAGCAGCAGCAGTTTGTGCATGTGGCTCATTGATGTCAATTGAAATGATCGGTTTGCCAACAACACCACGAGTAGCTGGATCTTGACTCCAAATAAGCGGTACCGACCCACGCCGTTGCACGAAGGAACTAAACTTTCCAGTTGTGAAGTTAGGAGAAGAACGTGTATCCCAAATGATTTGTTCCGTTTCAACATCATTTGCTACCTGGCCTACAATTTAAATTGTTGAATTGTCAGAAATTCAAAACTAATCTTTTGAAAATAATTTTAGAACTAATTTCTAATCCTCTATGCTATGTTTTAAAAACAAGAAAAAGGAAAATAACCTTTAAAGTTAGCACCTCGCTTTAGATATCTTGTACCTGCGTATTCTACGGAACGACGTCCAATTAGAATTAATGATAATCGAGAACACGGTAATTCAATTATTTGCTGACCTGTAGATTAATTGATTTCAAGATTTTAATTAATTTCATTTTTTATAAAAGACGATTAGAGTCACATAAGCCTGTTGAAAATTGCAAAATTACAAAATTCTAGAGAATTTATGTAAATTCATAAATTCATAGGTGAGTCACGATCAAAATTAGTGTGCATTCATAGAATTCAAAAGAAGTTTAAATAAACGACAAACCAACATATCCATGAACCACTTCAATAAACCACTGATCGCTAATAGCGTTTTTACGTAATGGTTCCAAAAGATAGCTATTCCAGATAAATTTTGAGTCGGGAAAAAACTGGGAAGTTTTTTCACTTTTGTCAGCTTGTTTGTACTTGGGCCACCCGGATATTTCCAACACATTTTCTTGCAGCGTTCGGCTCAAATCGTATACATAACAGAAATAAAAGTCCGTTGATAAATCCACAGACTATAAAGCGAATAATTGTCTTTATGTTTAAATGATACTGAAGCTGAAGTTTGAGGGTGCCAGATATAGTTTCAAAATTCTTTATGAAAACTTCAAAATGGATTTATATTTGGATTTTACGATAATCTTAGACTACATGGATACTTAGGGATATCTTCACTTTTGTCGATGGCAAATTTAGAGCAATTATTTATAAAAATTAAAGTAACAATGTGTGATAAAATAAAATGAATTTGACTTGAAATAATTTCAGATAGCGTAATTCATCGGGATTGTTAACCGGAATTCCTTGTATTGCAAGAGGAATAAGGATAACTTCTTCAATTTTATATATTTCGTGGTAGCCTATTGTGGCAACAACTCGAGCCTTCGTTACGACCTGAAAAAAAACTAGCATACTGAAGACAGCAATAATTAATTGTAACATTAAATAAGACACTGCATATGAACACTTTGCAAAATTTTTTTTAAAACTCTTATTTCAAAAAGGATGCAACATTAGCCTTTACTGAAAATTGGGAACATAAAAAGAACATCGAAATAATGAAAACAGTGATGTTTCTTACCAGCAAATAATAGCCTTCAAGAAAGCGTACAGCTCCAAGTAATCCGAAAGCATCAGAGGCGCGTTCGATTAAACCTTTTCGTCTATCAATACCCACTGATTGCTTCTCGTTTTGAGTAAACACAACTGCAATTTTAATGTTTTACTAAACAATCGCAACGAATATGATTACATCCGATGGTTTTTAAAACATACTCTACAAGAATAAAAAGCTTTTTGCACTCAGATAGGATATATTCATTCGTAAACAAATAAAACCATTACAAAAAATCATATTATATCAACAGTTTAAATATTAATTTTGAAATCAAATATCAAATTAGCATGGATTTATTGCGAAAAATTAAAAGGAAGAATGAATGCATCCACTTCGAACTAAAATTGCTTGAAAAATTTTTATAGCTGCAACTGTATTAAAGCGCATCGAAGTGCTTATCTCATCTTATCATATTGCTTATACTTTGTTGCAGTAATGATGAACTTATAAAGAAGACAAGTGATCGAATAGTTGAAGATATGACACGCTACCAGTTGTTTCATTATCCTTATAAACCAATTAAAAACAACAAGAAAATGCTTTGTACTTTTCAACCACTTCTTAGATTAGTAACGCTGAAATACCTGAAGACACAAAAGACACTTGCCAGACTAGATAAGGGCAACAGTAAAGTGCTTTATTAAATGTAAACAACTTCTGACAATTTCTACGAATATTCGTATTTATTCCATGTATTCGTATCAAAACATTCACTTACTAGAGTTTCCTTCCGAAACAGTGGCTAACAATTTCATGATATCACTTTTTGAATAATTTTCTCCCACTTCAGATACGTCCAACGTTTGCACTCCCAAACGGCCAATTTTTAGCAGCCGATAACGAGTCTTCGAAACATCAGAACCAACAATGTAAAAGTTGATCGGTGTTTCAAAAACACTCAAATGCCACAATCTTGCCATGACGATACAAGCTTATATTAGCTGAAAAAAATACGAAACTTCCTTACCTGTACTGCCAAGCAAAGCAATTTTGTATTTTTTTAAAACCCAGTCTTGAACGAAAAAATATAATCAATATTCCCCATAAGTTTTGTCCTTTAAGTACCATCAAAACTATTGCTAATTACAAACTAAAAAATAGCTCTGAGCAGGCCTAATTTCAAAAACAAAACTAAATGTTGACTTACAAACTGCATATTCTTCTTCCAAATTTCTAATTGAGATTTAAAATGGTGAAAGTCGGCGTCACGTACATTTCAGCAAATATTGTACTACTCAAACAAATATTACACCATTCTCATTCTAGCTAAAATCTGGAAATGCAAACTTTTAATTGACTAAACCTCTATCTTCCACATTAATTTTGAAAGAAAGTAACAAATTACAACTTGATATTTCTCAACAATTAAAAAAATGAAATCTCGAAAGTTAAATTTTAACTTGCAAACAGCGTTTTTTGTTAACAGTATACAAGAAAATATGATCTCAATTATTACAACATACATTTTCGAAGAATCGAATTAAAATTGTGGAATGAATTATGAAGAAAATATGAAAGTACTCAAAGACTCTTCAAATTCAATTATTGCTTTCTCTATATTGGCATTTGCTATCTTCAATTCTTATGGTGTTAATATATGTTGTGAAAGTTACTTGCTTCACTATTCAATATTCCACATTTTCTGATCCAAAAAAAGAGAACCGAGAGTACTAGATAAGATTTCGAAATTAACTTGATTATTCACAAAAATAATAAATATTACTATCTTCGTGATTACTATCACAAAATCTCACAGCATACTTAATGGAGAAATCGAATAAAACACCACAATTTATCAACAGTTGTGAGCATGAAATCATAACTTAAACCCTTCTGGTAGATCTTAGAGGACTAATCGTACTTATTAAAATCGCTTCTTCAATTTAATTCAAATAAATTCATTGAAACAGATTTGATGCACTTATTGAGAACTCTAATAACTTATTTAATTTTTCAGTATCTAGCAAGTCTGACGGTATGAGCACTACAAGATTGCCATGAAATTTCTTCTTAAGGTCCGATCTATTCTTTGCATTGTTAGCTTTTCATGAAACAGCATAGTTTCATGCCTGGGCATGAACTAACAATACTATTTTACCCTCAGTTTAAACCAATATTAGCCAAATATTATCAACTTACAATAAGAACTGCGTCCCTAGCACTAATGAGTCCAATCAAACTATTGAAGTTTGCATTACAAAATTTGGCGTTATTAAACTCGTATTGTTTTTATGTAAATTAGTAAAAAAAAGATATGACAAGATCTTAAGAGTCTGAAACTTCTACTTAATTACTCAAACTGAAATAACCGCAAACTGAAAATTTCAAAGTGTCAAAGTAATATAAATACACATTTTTTGCCACTGAACTAAAGATAGACCTCACCCAAGTTTCCTGATAATAGTGTTACTTTATCTTCAAAATAAATCCAGTCAAGAGATAAAAGAATGATATGAACAGAAAAATTCAGTGAAATAATTATTTGTTATTCGTTTTATTCCCATACATCCTGTTATCATAAATTTTCAAATCGTTATACAAATGCCATTAAAGAAAGTACTTATTTCTACCATTGTAGGCTATTTCATTCGAGACTGCCGGCGTTTCCAATTCAGAATGAATATATCATGTGAAAAAATGGGGATGTAAAAAATCAAATGAACCGCTTTACCTATTCAACGGTTGTCACCACAATACAATTCCAACAAGAAATCACTTAAACCGCAAAAACTTTGTTTCCTATAGATCATTTCATTCGATTGTAAAATAACAATATATATATATACATAGCGTTGCTAGTATACAAACAACGAAGCCACATAGTTCTAAATTACAAAATTCGTGACTATCATAACTTAATTCAATTTTCAGTGATTTTATTACTCAAAATTATATAAACTGCCTAATAATTTGCAAGCTTCTAATAGTTCAGAGTCAAAAATTACGGAAAGCTGAGAAGTACTTAATCTAAACAAACTTCGAGAGTCGTTAAAAAGAATAGATGAAAAAACTCTATCTTCTAAAGACATTTAAACAATTAACAAATTACACACACGTATATGAACAATAGGAACTGGTTAAAAAGCATTATCTTCATCCAAATTATCATCCGAGCCAACATCACCGTAATTTTCACCGTTATCGAAATAAGAATGAATGTAATCATTATCTTCTTCTTGATAATCATCATCCGACAATGCTTCCTAGTAATATTGTAAAATTATGGAAAGCAAAACTGAAAAACTCTGAACATAAGTTGATTTTAGTTCTGTAGCCATTTAAAAATAAGTGACACCTCTAAAGTCCAAAAAAGTAATAGCAAAGATATGACGGAATCTAAATCACTAACCTGTTCTTCATTTTCGTTATTTTGTTCCTCCTTTTCACTTTCTTCCTCGTTTTCATCAACAGCTTCCTGGACTTCAATTTCAGGACTATCTAATTTTTCTAATTTTTCGCTCTCCTCAAGTTTCGATAGTTTTTGAACAACTTCATCGGTTCCTTTATCAATTACTTTGCGTTTCTTTTTGACTGGTTCGCCAACCTTTTTTTTCCAGCACAATTCATCTGGAAGTCGCGACCAATCTAAACAGAGTTAAATTTAATAATTTTTATATCTCATCCTTATTCTTTTTACGGGCATCATAAAAGAATCGAAAGAAGTAGGTATCGAAGAGCAACTCCATAAATCTAATTAACTTAAAGCACAAAGCAAAAAAAAAAACACACGATTATGAATTTCGAAAAATTTTACTTTTCTTGAAAAAAGTACTTGAAGTTACGAACATCAAAGTTAGAACGCTGGGAACACGAGAAAAAATGTAAATAGTGTTTAAAAATAATAATGACCTGGTCGCAGTTCTTCCTTCTCAATTTCTTTATACTTATCTGTATATCGTCTAAATTCAGAATTTCGCTCTTTTACAACGAAATAAAAAGATGATTCGTGAAACCGAGAGAGCAGTTCTTGTCGCAATTCAGCCATATATTGCAATTCATCTGTTTTCTCGAGAGGCAAAATTATCTGCGAAACAGGCTGCAAATCTAGTTTTGTGCACTTACCACTGTATTTTCAATATAAATTATGAATTTCCAGGTAATGTGAAATACTACGCAAAAATAAAGGCTAAAAATTGCAGGTCAGCTGCTTTATCAAAATTCCGCTGAATAAATAAGGCACAATACAGTTCTTATAAACGTTACTTGTGATGAACTGGAAAAAGTTTGAAAACTTACCGGATAAGTAGGTTGTGATTCCAAAACCACTTTTGTATATGAGTTCATTTCATGTCGAGCTATACCCAATGCATTTGCAACCGCCCGTAATCCGGAAGATGCTCCTCCTCGACCTCCAGCACGACCACCCCGTGACATGCTTTAAATCGATGAAACAATCAAATCGAAGGCAAATTAGTTGCAAAATGAACCCTAACTAGCAAGTGAATGTAAAACGAGTCCCCGCGCTAAATATTAAAACTATCGAGTTACGGATTTTTCAGCAATACATTTATCCTGGTAATAAAAGATTCTTTATATTATTTGAAAGTATACATTGTTGCACTTTGAGAACAACATAAATGAAAAATAAATCAACCTCATAACTTTTATAATGACTATCAAAGTTGCATTAAAAAAACAGAAAAACACTCAAACGCAACAGTTGAAAATTGCAAAATGATTCCTTATATGCTTTTTATGAATGAAAACAATGCTGGAATTGGCAACAACTAAACAATCAAATAAGAAAAACCAATTAATTATTTGATTTTGAAATTTGTATCAAGGCAAACTTTGTAAATCATGAATTAAATATATGATCAACCCGTAAAATAGCCCACTCCAGATGACCTTTTTTAAAATGCATTTTAAAAATCTTGAAAATTACGAGCACAAACATCACAGAACAAATTAAGATATTTGATGACGAAAAACAACGATCACCAGTTCTATAAAATCTGCTGAAATTCAAATCAACGAGATCATCTAGTAATGTAAATCCTACCGGCAACATTCTTCGAAATGAGGAAATCAATTTTAAAAAAATCAGATTTTCGCCTCAAATATAGAAATAAAAATATAAAAACAGTAACAGTAATTCCAAAACTGCACTAAGACCTAAAAGATTATGGTTTTTTAATTCAACCGCTCTTCATCCGTCTTGTCCGTAGCACTTGTCGCTCTAGCCTAAAATATATAAAGTTAAAATTTAACGTGCTCAAAAAAACTTTTTTGATTACTGGCAATGGCGCAAAACGCTTCGATAAGTGAAAATGAAAGACTGTATAGAAACCCACTTATATTAGCAAATCGTAAATTGCTCAGCAGCTAATGCATACTTATCATATCATTCCCAATAAACAATTTCTTGAAATGGTCTTTGATTATGCTAGTAAAACATTTTATGTAATTTATTTATTAAACTAACAGCAATTTAAAGCCGCCTTAATATGTGTAGAAATAATAACTTATTGTGTTTGAAGGTATAGATATATCGAACTTAATGTCACTTTCATAGCACAATGAAGCAGATGGGATTAATTGCATACAAACAAATTTTTGAAAGCAGTTAATAAATTTAGCATCAAGTAATTCGTATGTCCGAAAACTTATTAATTGCATGAATGGGGATGATATGTGAACTGAATTAAAACTTTCCTTATTTGACGAATCGAACTTGAAAGCATTGTGGGAACAATGTTTTTGTTCATTACTGATAGTTCATTACATCAAAAGCCTCTTTAAATGAAATGCAATCAACCTACTTTAGTTTCGGAATCCTTTGATTTATTCCATGATTCTAAACCCTTCGGTAATGTGATATCTTCATCCAGGCCACCAGTACCCGCAACAAACTCCTCATAAGTTTGCTTTTCGGCAAACGGACGCGGTCCCAAC